TCTGATTATTAATACATATACTTAAAGAGGCTTTAACTTCAGCTCTTCTGTGGTTTGGACAAAACAGCACAGAAGAAGTTTTAGAAGCACTTATGGTTAGGTTGTTATTGGCTGAGTAGTAGTCAATATCCTCGTTAATTTCCATAGTAGCAGTCTGTAGATTCTCAGGATAAAACAGGTAAAGCAGTTGAATGTCATCCGCATATAACTGTAGCTGTGAATTTTGAATGGACTTAGCAATATCCGGTTCATGAATTAAAAATAACAAAGGTCCTAAAATTGAGCTCTGAGGCACACCAGAAGTAATAAAGTGCTCATTTGACAAAGCTCCAGAAACTGAGATGTGCTGACACCGGCAGGTTAGGTATGATATGGAAACCTGAAGGTAGCCCATCTCTAGACACATATTGATAATATGGGTCAAATAAGGTAGTATAATAGGAAGAGATAGCTTCATCATGAAAAGGGATACATCGTCAATAACATATATGCATATAACTAAAAGCCACTCACAACAGTTTTGATATTGCTAGGCTCAGCCAGAATGACGGAAAATCTCCGATTGCCGAACTTGTTATTATCATAAAAATTAAATGTGACTTCGTCGGACTTAGAGGAAAATCTTAAATCATTTGAGAGAAACGTAAAGGGATGGAAGCTTACTCCCATACACATCTCTTCAATACGATGACTGAGGTCGTAGTCTTGTTAACGACAAATGCTGCATAAGTAACCGTTAACGTAATTTTTATTTTCCATTCAACTCTATGATTAATTTGTGATGAATGTTGAATATAGTTAATGTGAGCTCTATGCATGCAGTATATTGTTGGCCGAGCGACTGTTTGTCTGTCTGTCTGTCCCAATGTCTCTTTCTGTTGTTCTCTACGAAGCGTAATAATAAGTTGAATAGGCCAGTTCATGTTTCAAGCAGCTAAATTGGTTGACGGTTGCAAGGTATAAATGCGAAGTATAAACTTCATTTGTGATGCTATTTTCGCAAACTCATACATACATCGGCAAGGGTATTATGTAAAAAACCTATAAAACGTCAACAAAACCTAGAAAATGTTGTTTGCAGACTAAGTAGTTTTTAGGGTGCAAACAGTCATTTGCTCACAATGATCGTTGTAGGCATCCATCTATGGAGTAATGACTCAACTACACACATTGTTGGTTGCAAATTTTTTGTGAAGCCGACTAGACTGTAATTTTCATCTCTGAGAAGAAAGTTGGTTGAAAAGCAAGATCACATCTGGATGATTATGTGTATTGGTCTGCATGTGATTAAGATCAGTGATACTTGCTGTGTGTGGAAATTATTACTGACTATGCTGCCTATGAAGTATATCTATTAGCTGTGCCAGACGGGTTATTTATATGTTGTCCTTTCTGAAGAAAATGTAATGAATTACGATTTTTTCGTATTATTGTGTTTTCAGAAACTTTGAGGAGAATTACGAGTAGTCAACACCGCGCCCACGTTGTGTGTAATTACTGTTCGCATGGATATAACTTATAATTCGACAATGTACAGTGAATATAATTACTTCTTATCTCTCTCCTTTTTGAAATTCATCAAATTTGCATATGTAATTTCCAGAACGGATAAGAAAAATTGGATGCGCAACTAATTTCTAGCTTTGAATCTCAAGTAAGTGTATTTTAGACAAGAATCCGATGGACTTATCATCAACACATATTTTTAGCAGACAAATCCTCACTGTGCACTTATGCGTTGCCATTTCCTTCTAGCTATGGTATATTTACAGCTTAGATATCCAGTAACGCTACCTCTGGAGCAGATTTTACATCACATCAGATTTTATCATTGATAACCGAAGCCTCATTACGTTTAGGCAACACGTACAACTACAAAACGAGTTCACAACGTGTCCATCAGCTAATGCTAAGCTAACATGTTATAGCACGACCTACATACTGTCACAAAAAAAAACAAAGCAATGTCAAAAATAATCGATATAACGTCACTTTTCAAGATACGTGATACCCGTACGGTTCCCTTATTTTTGAAAGATAAATTGATGTCTTGTGAGTATTTGCACGGAATATTCGATTAACCGATACTTTAGCTATGCCTTTTCACAAAACTTCATTATTTCATAAATGATTTACCTATAATGCGATCAATCTACATAATGCGTTATTGCTAAGCATCTTGATTTTAATAATTTCAAAAAACAAATTAAACAAATTATCTTTGATGCTCAAATCTAAATTATCTCCCAGTATATTGATCATCTGTATTTCTGTATTTCTGCATATTATATGAACCTTTCATAATTTTTTTGTACACACATGTGTCCGCTGTATCTAATTTGTAATTTTCGTTTGGAAAAATATTTTTTTAAAATTGTTTTCATATTCTAGTTTTCAAACAAAAATCGTTTATTATTTATAGTAAATGACTATTATATACAGTTAATAAACTGTTCTAAGATACCTAAGTCTAATAAACCACTAGATGCCATCAACACGTTGACATAACAGTTGCCACAGGAATTGTACGTTGCCTCCTGAAACTTTGTCTACTTGGCAAACTATGAGCATTATTAATGGATATTGTAGTAACCAGCATCTAGAAAGTTGGAATAACCCCAAAAGCCGCAACAGACTTTACTTCGTCGCTTCACAACTTTATCACTTCCTGGTAATCATCTCATCAAAAAAAACATCAGTTAAAGAGAATAAAACCATTTCAGAAACTAGTTATAGAATAACCAAACTGATTTTTATTTTTGAGCTTATAGGAAGAATAACAGCTGAATACTCTTTGCTTACCGTGTCCGAGACCATAACCAACCGAATACAACGTTGTTTTATGGTCTTTAGAAATCATCAGTACAGTGTAGGTCTAGTTTTTGGAAAAGACAACAAAGAGCAGCCAAGCAAAAATATGTCTACTGAAAAACGTATTGTAGTATCCGAAAAGATAAAACTATCACTATGAGTAGTTCGTCGAACACCATACTACCGACCTCTAGGTCAGCAACAGGGAACTAGTTTCCCGGCATCTCTAACTGACAGTCTGCTTCAATGAAATGGAAAATGCCGCCAACCAGGTTATTTATTCGTAGAAAGGTATTAAATAACAATGGTCTGCTTTCCAATGTCCTACTTCCATGACCTATAAACAGATCCTGCTCATACAAAATAAGAAAAATGGTTACGTTCAACAGGGTATCAATTCGACACAAATTTATTCGCTCTAATTATTCGTTCTGTAATCACTCATCATGTACATGGATACACACATTCCAGGAAAACATTGATCACGCGTCGATTTTGATGCTTCGCAAACTTGTAATTGGAATTTTCCGAGAAGTCTCGCCGTAATTTTCCGTACCACGCTCAAATCTGCAGCTTGCAGCTGCCGACAATATTTTTCAACACGACTGAACTTCAGATGCATTACTGGTTCTAAAACTGGTGTGGCAATAAAAGTAATTACAAAATGTATCTCTTCCTTTGCAGTTAGACATGCTGACTTATCAGACCTATGTTACAAACAGATCGACAGAAACAAAAACGAATGATGCTACCACAAGGTTCACTATTTATATTTTGAGCGTTGTCATTTTACTGTTTTTCATATTACTCTCCATTATGATCTAAAGGGTGGGCCGTCAGTTGTTTGTTGTTTAAGTTGGTATTATTTTGACAGTTGGTAACACTTCCATTCTCAACATCTTGATATAGATATTGTGTCGAACTTCCGCTGTGAGCAATGGATCGTATTAATCTTGAACAAAGGTGGGAACTATTGAAAAACTATTTTCAAAGTGACTGTGTTGCAGAAGCTTTGCGAAAATTGAGAAGACTATTTGGTCAGAACGGTGAAACTTGTGCAAGAGTTAAAACAAAATAACAATCCGCTTCGACCGATCAATTGAAAACGGACGTCAGTTCTGGTCGCCAAATCATCTTTTTGGACGAAGCTCATTTCCATCTTGGAAGTTACGTTAACAAGCAGAACTGTAGGATTCGGGGTTCTGAAAATCCACATGTTGTCATGGAAAAGCCAATGCATGCAAAAAGTAACTGTTTGGTGTGGCTTTTGGAGTGGTGGTCCATACTTTTTTCAAGATGAAGATGGTAACAGCGTGACGGTAAACGGGGAACGCTATAGAGACATGTTGAGGAGTTTTTTGGGACCACTATTAGACGACATGCACCTGCTCAATCTCTGGTTCCAGCAGGATGGCGCAACATAACACACCAGCCGTGAAACAATGGATCTTTTACACACAAAGTTCGGTCATCGCGTTATCAGCCGTTTTGCAGACGTCCATTGGCCAGCCCGCATCTGTGATTTGACGCCCATGGATAACTTCGTATGAGTACTGTTAAGGTCCTCTGTTACACTAACGATCCTCAAACAATTGATGTTTTCAAGGAAAATATCCGTCGAACAATTGATGAAATACACCCACAAACTATCGGAAATGTGCTTCAAAATTGGGTTAAGAGGATGGACTACTGCCAGGCTAGCCGCGGCAGCCATTTAATTAAAATTGTTTTTCATAAATAATCGGAAGGAGTATTCTTTTGAATTAAGTATTAAATATTATTGAAGAGTGTAGTTTAAATATCAACCTAACAAAAAAAGCAATGAATGGCCCCATTATATACTTTTTCATGCGTTCAAACCATTGTTTAAAACAGATTTTCAACTCCGCTTGAGATATCTCCAAAACATGCTTTATGAGAGCGCATCACCAGCTTCTTCTGCCGATGAAAATCATTGTCCACGCAATTTATTTGCGACGTACGGGAACAAAAAGGAGGGTGGGTGCCAAATCAGAACTATATGGGGGATGATCCATTAAATCAAAGTTTTGAGAGCGCAAATACTCAGTTGTTTCACGAGAGACCAGAAAGCTAGCATTGTCTTGATGAAGGATGATCTGACGGCACTTGTTGGTTTTCCTTATCTGACCGGCAAAGAAATGGTTGTGTACCATTCAGAATTAAGCGTGCTACGTTCCTCTAGAGACACTGTTGCCACATGGCCAGTTTTTCCGAGAAAAACATGTGGCCATTTGTTTCAAAGACAGATATACCTGTACAGTCGACTGCTGTTTCTTTTCCGGCTCATACGCATAGATCCAAGATTCGTCACCTGTTACAATTTCACAGACTTTTTTAAGCACAGTCGTTGTAGCTTTAAGTCGTTAATGTTTTGTCGTAGCCAGACCGTTCGCCGGACTTAAATCACATCGAACATGTGTGAGATGATACGGAGGAGGCTATCCACTTTGCATCATCCGCCACAGATTCTGCCACAGCTAATCCACGAAGTTCGAGCTACTTGAAATAAGTCGCCACAACCAGACATCGATCATGTCATTTTGTCGATGCGTGTATTCAGCTGCGGGGTCGCCCAACACATTATTTTTCTTTCTTATTATTTGTCAATAATATTTCGTCAGAATGTTATCGTTTCATTCTTGATGTAAGACTACCTCATTGCAAAAAAAATCAACTTGAAGAATTTTTTTTTCTGGGTGTAACACTTCTGTCACTAAGTATATTTTATGTACGCTAATGGAACTGATGTCTTCTCACAATATGTCACATGAAGATCTTGTATTTTAATATTTTGCACAGCATCAATGCTTTCTGGCACAACAATTTCGGACGACGTTCACGACTTTCGTCACCAAGTGAATGGATTAAATTCATTGTACCGGCGTTTAATAGTGGCAGGATTGGGCTTTATCGCTAAAGATAACTTGATGCATTAGTGCCTTGATAATCCACGGCGCAATCTAATAAGTGATCGCATGAAAATTTTTACGAGTTGATTCAATTTTTTTTTGGGACCCTGTTTCCAAATCACCATCAACATCACAAATCGTGCTCAAATGACAAAACGTTCTGGAGAAGATTATGTTTAAAAATGTCAAACTGTTAATTGGAAATGTCAGATTTAGCCTGAGCAAACTTGGTTTTGCCGAGGCTCAAAATGTAAATAGTGACACTCGTAACACTCCACACTTTGGAATAAAATCACAAAGTACTATACTCCATATCTCAGGATATTAGGTATAAGGAAAACTTGTTATTCTGGCGCGGCGATATAAAAAGTCTCCTCATGATAGGAACCGCTATCGTGTAAGAAGGGTTTTGACAACATTGTCACATTTGCGAACTATAAGTTTACTGAGATTTCTTGGCGAGAAAAAGTTGTTAAAAGGTGGAAGTTGACCCAGGAGGATCAACAGATGACGCATTTCCACATATTATGAGGGAAAAGCTGGGCGGTAGCGTAAACCAAGCAGAAGTAGAAAACATGGGCCAACTGACGCAGATGTCATCGGAGCAGAAAACGATCGAAAAACTGACGATGATTATAGACGACCAGGCGAGGCAGATTCGAGACCTAACGGAGACCATCAAGGACCATACAGTCAAAATTGACAGCCTAACCGCCCAGGTAACAATATTAGTAAATTCGAAAGAATTCCCTAAAGAACAGACAACCATCCTAAAAAGACCACTGAGAAACGTTACTGATAATCACATCCACAGACGAAGACGTACAGACTGACGGATTTGTAAAAGCAAAATCAAGGAGGAAAGGCGACAAGGCAGATTTACCAACCCAAGACTTTCCTCCGCTTCCGAATACAGGATCAATTCCATTTTACACCTCCCCCACTTCATCAAATCTAAACACCATTAATGCCTCTACTAACAAACCAGGGACCACGTTATCTACCTATCAGGTGACTCCATCAGCCGATGTTACTTCTCCTCCGTCATCTCGTCCAACCGTCGTGGCATCAACACAACCCCCATGACAAGGGCGCATAACCCCGACCCTACATCCGAGGACGATTACCGTAAGCTCGTTCGCCTGTTCCGAGAGGATTCTTCTGTGCCCCATCACACTTTTCCTCTCCCGTCGGAATGGAACATCCATGCGGTGGTTCGAGGAGTTCCCGTTAATTTTTCGGATACTGAGATTAAGGGAGAACTTGAGCAGAGAGAATATAGCCCTCTCCACATCATTCGATTGAAGCGCAGCGGCGATGCGCCCATGCCTTTGGTGGTCGTGATACTGCCCAAGACTGAAAAGTCTCAGCAAGTGTTCAACGAACACTGCTGGAACAGGTCTTTCGAGTTGAGGTTCAGAAGAACTCCAGACTCATTGGGCAGTGTCATCGCTGCCAAATGCTTAAAATGTGCAAAGGACCACATGACGCATTTGTGCTCCCACACAGAAGAGGAAGAGCGCAAGTGCGCTAAGTGTGGAGAGGGACATCCCGCAAATAGCCGGACTTGTAAGTTTGCTCCAAGGAGCCTTTTTGACTTCTAATGTTACTGAAATCCATTCTTGAAGGAAGGAAGTTTCGGATCAAAGTTAACATTGTCTTGTCAACAACACGGTCAGTACGGGCCGGTGTTTCTCAAGGTTCGGTCCTAAGGCTAATCCTTTATTCGCTTTTCATCCATGATGTCCCTTGCCCCAGCAACTGTGAAGTTTACCTCTATGCTGACGACACTGCATTTGTCGCCCAGTCGTGTACTGGTGATCTGGTTCACGATGGGTTGCAGAATGCGGTGGACGAAGTACTAGAGTGGGCGGAACGGTGGCTGATAAAAATTAATCATTCGAAAACTCAGGCTATTTATTGTACCAAAAAACGTCGCGACCTCCAGCAGAGGTTTCTGTAGACGGAAATTGTGTACCATGGACAAATTCCGCCAAGTATCTCGGTGTCACCCTTGATAAAGGCATGACTTGGCAGAAACATACAGCATCCATAAAAACAAAGTTCCAAATTGCGTTTCGGCAACTGTATCCTTTGTTATGTAGAACCTCCAAATTGAGTTTGATAAACAAAGTTCGACTATATAAAATGATTATTAGACCAGCCATTACTTATGGATGTGCGGCTTGGTGTTTTCTTTCCAAGACACATATGCAAAGTCTTTAAGTACTGCAGAGCAGAACTTTGCGGACAATTTGCAGTGCTTCATGGTATGTCTCAAATAGACACTACACAGAGACCTTGACATTCCTTACTTCAGGGATTATGTCAAGCTTCAGGCACAGCGACATTATAGAAAAGCGGAATCACACAGCAACCCTCTGTTGCGTGACTCAGTGGACTACACAGTTGAGCAAGTTCGTAAACATTCAAGGTCACGGCTCGCACTGTAATCAAAAGTTATCACGAATTTATACTAAACTCAAAATTAGACAAAACCGAATTAAAAATTTGTTTAGTTCAACTCAAAATTAATCTGTGTACCAAGTCAAAAAGCCTAGGTGTTTCCTCTTAATCTAAGCACATCTGATTTCTTTGCTCTTCTCGTTTTTCCTCTCTTTCGCTTTCTCTTTTTCCTTGACTTTGTCTGGTTTCTGGGCAACCAGGACTGACAGATTCGATTAACGTACATTAGACACTGACTAATGGGCAAAGGTCCTACGAACCGCCCAGTCAAACAAATGACGAATAGTAGTCTCCTCATATAGATTGCTCCACAATCTTGACCCCTATCAACAAAGGAGCGGTTGCACCCTCCAGTTCTGGGTGTACGGAGTTACACAGCGTTAGAATGGGAGACGAAAGCCTGACGGGTTTGTCTGGCATACTGATCTTGTGGTGACAAACTGTTTTTTTTTTGTTAATTCGAGTGCCTTACAAAATAATTTTGCACATGTTAGTATGAGCTTTGATGTCTCATTCGCGTGTGCCAAAACTCTTTCAATATATTTCCATGATATGTAAGCTGGACTATCATACAGGGACAAGTTTAGAACACTCCGTATCATAACAAAACCTTTCTGGAAGCTTGTTTATATTCTAAAACTCGCTATATGTGCCTCAAATAGAATAATGTAACAAATATTCTTTGATGAATCATGCAACGACAGTTTTCCGACTCACATTCTTATGATAACTTTTCCATGTGAATTTATTGACACTAATACCAATACATAGAATAGATTGTTGTTTATCATTAGCAGCGTCACTGTCAATTAACTCGCTGTAGTTCCCCTTACAATGTTTGAATCATATCTCGTCTACAAACAATATCATTAACCCACTCGACGTTCGACACTGATGCACATAAAAACATAAGTGACCTATATCAACATGGCAGGAAAACTGGAACGGTGTGGTCCCAAAAACTACATTGGAAATAACCTGGTGGTAAACATGGACCACAACATGGAAAGCTTAGTTATCGCAGGTAACAACTGCAACATCTTGGTGAAAAGAAATAATGGCAAATTGAAGATTATAGGCGACTGTTGTAAAGTTTCTGTCAACGACGGTGATGGCACTATCAGATATGTTGGAAATGGAGGTGAAATTTCAATTGGAATGGGGGTCTCCAAGGATCTGGTGACTTATACAGGAAAATATGGAAGCATCATCGAATCGGATCTAGTTGAACCTGCACAAAACTTAGTTTCAATTAAGAAGAACGCTGGGTATCGTGCTAGGAGCAGGTGTCAGATTATTGACATTAGCCACGGTGTGGTGATTAGACATGTCTTGTGAAATAATATAGTGAAGGTATTGTAGTAATTTCTTTGCTGTATGTTAGTTCAATATATCTGAAGATAATATATGTTGAATATTATTGCTTTGATCGTGAAACGTCTGTTTGAGGTGGATTTTTAAATATGCCATCATCTGTGAATAAAATTTCCGCAATATGGCTACATAAAATTGCAATTTTAATAACTGAAATACATTAATTAATTAGCATCAGCGAATAAAGATTGTTTTCCTTATATTTGAAGCCTATCCCTCACGGAATATGTGCAGTCACAATTTGATATTTCCTTTTAATAGAAAAAATCCGGAATACCCACAATATTCCTTTTAAAGACAAAATATTTATTTTCCTCCGATACAAAAAATTTGAAAATGTTTCCTCAGTCTAACGGTGATATCGTCTCGTCTCCAGATACACATACCATATAAGGCTGTGTTTTTGGATATATTTTAGTTTCAAATAATTGGATTCCTATCACGCGTTTGCTTTCCCACAAATTGGCAAATTACGAATATCACCCATGCTTAGATTTCATCACATGTTAGCATTGGTTAGCGTATTCTACGTGAAGATAGCAAGCCATATACTGTGTTCCAGCATCCAAAAAAGGATCTGAAAGATACTAGCGCCGTATATGGGACAGTAGAAGAACACAAAAATTTATTTAGGAATCGACATTGCAAACAGTTCTGATTCTACTACTGTCTTATAGATAGCGACAGGACCTTCGTTACTTATTTGGCGCTTATTTAATGTCTAAGTCGGTATCTTAACGTGGAATACGTTAATCAATGCCTGAAGAAAGCCAATTAAAATGGGCGTTAGAGAGGCGCCAAAAAGGGATTGAAGGTTTTAGCACCATCTATGAGACAGTAACTGAAATAAACACTCTAATCTTTCCAAAACCGTATGTGTGTTCTGTTATTGTCTCATATAAGGCGCTGGTATATTTTAGGACCCTTTTAAGGCACCGAAATACAATATTTGGCTTAAGGTAGAATACTTTTCAAATTAGACTCTCACCATAGGGATCTCGGAAACGGTAAGCGATACGAAGTGGGTTAGGTAAGGGACAAACTGCGCATTTCGTTAAGTGAGAAAATGGAACTCAGAGGGCTTCGCATGTCCGAATGTTTCCGGGGAGAGACGAAAGAACCCAAATTTTCACAAAATCGATATTATTTTTTCCTGGCATTATTTGAGATGGGATTTCAAAATAAAAGCAATATTAAAATTGTAACATTTTCTCCCCCAAAAGGTGGTAAAATTGAAATTTCAATATAACGCTTCGTCTCTTGTCTTCAATCATCACCTTAATTTTTTTAAAAGACCCCATTGACATTGCCAAACCTTAGTTATTTGAATGAAACATGATTTCCTAGGTAGGCCTTGAAACTTTCAGTCAGTCATTTCTTTTAATTTTTTTCATTTAAATATGTAAAGTATCTCCCATCGAAAAAATGTTACACATTATTTGCAGACATTTCTGGCAAATTATTCAGGGCAATATTTGAAGATAACAATGGAAAAATTCTTCTTGGATGGCAATGTTTACCAGTGTATGATAATAACGAAATAACGCAATGCAAGAAGTGTCTTCGCTTCAATCACACCGAGAAAAAATGTCGCAATAACAAGACCTGTACCAACTGCAGCAAAGAGGATGTACACGATACTGACTGTTGTAAGCATGAACCGGTTGTATGTTGTAATTGCAAATTATCAAACTATAGATATAACAAAAATTATAGTACCGACCACTCACCATTAGATAAAAAATGTCCAACTTTTCTATATTATCAACAGCAGTACAACTTGAAAATCCTTTTTTAAGAAAGAAGAAATTTTAGCCAAAATTTTAGAATATTGCATCATTTATGACACACGACTATGTAAATAACTTCCAAATTCAACGTATTAGTACTAATACTGCTCATGATACTAGCGAGCTAGATGCTTTTTTACAAAATCCTGAAATATCTGTTAGAATTTATCATATGAACATCAGAAGTATAAAACATAACTTTGACTACTTTAAATTAATTTTGAAAAGAATACAAAGTGATATAGATATAATCATTCTATCCGAAACATGGCAAGTGGACGATGTGACTCTGTTTCATTTAGAAGGGTACGATACATTGTATAATTTTGGTAACCATAATCAAAACGATGGAGTGATGGTGTATGTACGAAACAATCTGCCTTATAACCATACCATATTTACAATCAACAATGAACTAAAAGGTATCAATCTAACAATGCAAATTGAAAATCGTAGAGTCAAAATTACTTGTGTTTACCGACCACCATCTTCAGATCCTCATACATTTATAAGAGACATAGATGAACTATTAAAAAACAGTGAAAACAATCACCTTCATAATCAAATATTTATAGGCGACATCAATATAAACATTTTAGAGGAAAATTCTATGATGAAAGAATATTTAAACATTTTATCAAGTAATGGTTTTTTATCATACATAAATAAAGTAACACGACCCACCAGTAAAACCTGCATTGATCACTGCTTTATAAAGGATATTTCCAATATTTTTTATTACATGCCTATTATCTATGAAACCGATATTACAGATCATTATTCCACTGTATTATTGATATCTTCACAAAATAAAAACCAGAACTGCCCAAGGGCAAAAAATGAAAGAAACCTTGAATACAAATATTTCACTGACAACTCAAAATTAATATTTAACGCACAAACGGAATCGTGGGACGAAATTTATTTAACAAATTCTTTAGACGAAGCTACAAATTTATTAATACACAAAATTCAAAAAGTAATTGAAGTTAGTACTGATAAGGTAAAATAAGTCACAAGGAAAAAAGCAGAAATGATTAGATGACCAAAGGACTAATAAAATCTGCAAACGAAAAAGAAAGACTGTATAAAATCATGAAATATTTACCCACGAAAGAAAATATAGATCATTATAATCAGTATAAAAACAAATTTATAGAACTTTTGAGAAAAGCAAAAAAAATTACTATATAGAACAATTGAATAATAATTCACATGACTCTAGACACCTATGGTCCACTGTCAATGATATATTCAATAAGTCATCCTATTCAAAAAACAATATTAATGAAATAAAAACAAAAACAGGACAGAAAACAGACAATATTCAGCAAATATGTGATGAGTTCATAGAATTTTTCACGAATATAGGAGGAAACTTAGCAAATAATATCAAACAAAATGCTGATATTCATCTGCATGAAACAAGACTGAATAATTCATTTGTATTAACTGAAGTAGACTATCAGGATGTTTTCAATGCCATTATGACTCTAAAAAATAAAAAAGCCCTGGAGTTGACGAAATTAGAGCTGAACATCTAAAGACACTGGCCAAACAAATAACAGAACCACTTGCTTATATCATTAACAAATCCTTCCAATCTGGAGTATTTCCATCAGCTTTCAAGACAGAAATCATCATACCTATCTATAAATCTAATGATAATACGGACGTCACCAACTATCGACCTATTTCACTTATATCAAGTTTAACTGAAGTTTTTCAGAAATTACTCCTTAATAAATGATTAATTTTCTTAATAAATTCAAAATTCTAAATTCAAATCAATATGGTTTTATAGCGGGCAAATCTACAACAGATGGGGTATTAAGTATAGTAGATGAAATAACCCAAAATATAGATGGAAAAGTACCATCGATATGCGTATTTGTGGACTTACAAAAAGCGTTTGACACAGTTAACCACAATATACTTTTGGAAATCTTAGAAAGAATAGGTTTTCGTGGAAAGATGTATACTTTAATGGAAAATTATTTATCAAATAGACCGCAATCAGTAAAATTATTAAGCTCGTATAGTAAAGAAATGTTTGTTAAATGTGGTGTTCCACAAGGTACAATTTTGGGTCCTCTGTTATTCAATATTTATTTAAACGATATATTCAAAATTAACAGTACTGGTAAAATAGTCAGTTTTGCAGACGATACTGCTATACTCTATAAAGGTAAGGATTGGAACGACTTAAAAGATATTATCCAAAATGACTTTTGCAAAATTATTCAGTGGTTTAATAACCGAAAATTAACAATTAACTTTACTAAAACTCATTTTTTACCATTTTCATCACTATCTAATCATCTACCAAAATATAACCCCTTCGGTTAAGGTAAATGATAAAAATATAAAAATCAATAGAGTTAATGATACAAAATATTTAGGAATTTATCTAGATCCCCACTTGAGATGGGATGTACATATTTCTCACATACTAAAGAAAATTAGATTCATAGCATATAAAATAAAATTTCTAACCGGTATATTAACTGAATATTATCTACGAATAATATATCAAGCTTTAGTCGAGCCACACATAACATATGGTATAATAGTGTGGGGTGCTGCATGCACGACATACTTAACGATTTAGATGTACTTCAAAGAAGAATTTTAAAATCAATGTTAGGCGAATCAAAATTATACCCAACTAATGACTTATATAATGATGCACAAGTATATGATACTAAACAACTTTACTTCTTACATACCATCACTCATTATCACAAAACTATTAGTGAACACGACATAATTAAACATAATCATAAAACCAGATATAAATTACGCGCAAAAAATGTTCCTAAATCAAACAAATCCCTAATGAAACGATGTCACCTGTATATAGCTCCAAAATTGTACGAACATTTACCAAATAATTTAAAACAATTACGCAATACATTAGGCTTCAAAAAAAAATTAGAAAAATTTATTAACACGATTGGGAGAAATCAAATTAATAAAATAATCTCAAATATTACACAATAAATGCTCTACCATTCTTACCAATAATTTCTTTTTTCTCTCTATTTTATTATATTTTGCAATTCAACATACATATGATCCATGCACAGGCGTTGTCCTCCTATGGATATATTATATTTATTTACTCGTTTCATGTTCCCTGTATTTTAGAGTAAATAAATATTATTATTATTA